TGATGTTCATGTTAATTATTGACGATTTATTGATATTGTTACGTTAATATGTAATTTATTATCGATGTGCAGAGCGCGTGTGGCAGTACAACTCTCTGGCTGTCTCTTATACACATCTAGATGTGTATAAGAGACAGCTTCAGGACTCCACTGCCCCCACGCCCCGCAAGCTCTGCCCTCAAGCCGGTAACTTTATCTCGCAAAATGAGGTCTCGTATGTATTCTGTTCTTGGTAGAATGAGATTATTATTTTTCCATTATTACGTGTTCAAGTGCTTATGAATTTTCACGCTTATAAATTTACACGGAGTTCTTTCTATTGCAGCGACCGAGTGTAAGCTGTCGAAAGTTTTGCCATTGCCAGAAGCGGAATTTCGGCGGAAGCTGAACGAAGACCAAATGGCGACGGAACAACTCTGCGCCGGCATCCGTCAATTTTCCATGGACGCCATAAAGTTGGAAGAGCTCCTGAAAGCGAGGATGCAAGGTAAGCGAGGCATTAATCACAATCATTTCCTAGACATTCTAATTTGTCACAACTTTATTTTGTTGTCTTTTATTTTTATTTATGTAGCTTTATACATATTTAATAATAATATTTTACATTACTAAACTCCCTAACATGTCTCTCAACAGGGAACATTGAACCCACGTTCAACGATGAACCCCCAACATGTCCCTCAATTGAACTCATCAGCGACGAAGAAGAATCCACAGATGAAGAATCCACAGAGAAAACCAAGTTCACCTGTGAATTATGCAACAAAGCATTTAGTAGGAGGTAAGAATACAGTTAAACTTTCGCATGTTGGAAATTGTGTTTTATTTTGTGCAGTTAAAAAAAAGTTATTTACAGTTTACAGTTACGTAACAATTGATTTCTCCTTGGGCAGGTCGGATCTGAAAAGGCACTTGAGAACGCACACAAATGAAAGACCGTTTGCATGCCGCGAGTGTGACTCTACATTCAAACGTAAGGATCACCTTAAAAAGCACGAAAGATTGAAGCACCAATAAGGACACTGGTTCCGGTCATTGTACAACTTTTTATTTTTCCGACGTGATTCCGCCTCAAGCTTTATTGCTTGTTTTTTCGGTTTTGATATTTTGTAGCTTTTAAGATTTGGTTTAAATATGGAGTCAAATTATTTTTTGTGAGTAGGATTGTTTATTGGTGTTCACTACATCCATTCCGCACTGCTGGTGCTCGCTTTCTATGTGATATTTTTTTTGTATTTTGGTATTATTTTGTTTGGTGAATAGCAACATTCACCTTAAATTTAGAATCCTTTTTTTTTATTTTTTTTTCTCGTTTAATTAAATTTTTAGTCCCTTTTCAGAATCACCGATTTGATGCGGAGGAAAAAAATATATTGAAGTGTAAGGATGTTGGTAATTTTTCCAGTCATCAAGTTCTCGAGTACCTGAATTTTGTGCCTGTAAGTTGTGTAGGAAGTGATATCTTAGATAAGTAGATATGTTTACAAGTAATTACCGATATAACCGCTCGTTTTTGATGCCGTGTATGCCAGTTGAAATGGGGGCCTTTTGTATGATTTTCGCCATTTTTAGTTTTGCCGTATTAAAGAAAACTTTGACACCGTCCTTGTTTATTCCACTCATCAATTGTTTTTCTGGATGAAATCAGCCAGATGGTCGGTGGTCTGCCACTGATGCATAGAAGGCTGCATGTGCAGGTATATGCTGAGCCTGCCGTGGGTGTAGGACAATTAGACAAGTAATTTGCGGTAAATAGTGTTTTTACTTATTGTAAGCCCAACGTTCAGTGGTGAAGAAATCAGAATTGAGACGGCTTAGGACGACTTAAAACCGTCGGCAATATGTTTCAAAACCTTTTTGACCACCGAGAAAAATAGCAGTTTTCAAAATTGTTAAAGTACTGCAAACTACGCAATATACGCCGGCATTAGAAAATTTTTCATGGAAATGTCTAATGATCAGAGTGGTCAATTTACAAGCTTTAGACAGCAAAATCGGGAAACTATGAAAACCGTCCGATGTGCCTCAATCTAATTTAGATTTAACGCGAAGCAAGCCGTCGCAATCGACAAATTATAATCATTATACGATGCATTTATCGTGGCGTCTGCTTCAAGCGAACTTCGAGGGCACGTCATACATAAGAATAATAGCAAGCAAAAAATAAATACACATGAAAGGATGAGAACGGACAAAATGAATGAACACTAGATTCATAGGCTCTACGAAATAGTTCCGTCTTTGGGCGTCGACGAAACACCTGCAACGATGAAGCCGAAGTTACGGACGCCGGTAAACTGTTCCAGGTTCTGGCGGCGGCGACCAGGAACGCTGTCTCCGACGATAGATAGACGTGTAGATGGTACGACGAGGTCTGCTGTTGATAACGAGCCCAATCCTCTTCTAGAAAGTAGATCCGACACGCGCTGCAGACCTTAAGATAAGGAAACCGTGAGATAAGGAGGCGCCAGGCAGTTAAGGTATCGGAATGTCAGAACAGCGACATCGAACTGCGTGCGCTGCTGAATGCGCATACAGTGAAGATAGCGCTATATCGGCTTCACATGGTTGAATTTTTGCTTATTGCAAGGTCGGGTTTGGCACCGTGACGGTTAAAATACCTTCTCTGCTGACAGGAGATTGCCGATCATCCGCAAGGAATTTAGGACCTGATAAATAATTGGTCTTTACCAATTGTCTTCAAGACAAGGGACGCATTATCAAATCGGCAGGATTGTCACAACCCGTCACGAAATTGAAATTAATGGGCATGATCTCACCAACTGTCTGAATCTTTCCAAGTCCGTTCATAACGAAAACTGAAAATTTCTACATTTTCGCTAGTTAGTTAGTACAGGGTGACACAAAAAAAACAGAGCTCATAAAAAGTTGAATAATTTCCACAATACTCAAGTAATCCTGTTATTTGTTTCAGATTCATTAAGAAGACGGATTGATCTAAGAGTCTACCACGTGTGAGCTTCGAGATGCCTTGGACTACAGAGCAAAAGACATTTGCAGTTAGGGGCGCGCATCTGGAACATATCTTTGAGCGGCTGTAGAACAAAGAGTTTTTGTGGTATAGAATTGAGATTTTGCAGATGTTGGCTACATAGGTTGTACATAATTCCATAGAATTTTTGTTTCAAACTGAATAAAATTTCAGGAGTTATAAGACTTTTAGTGAGCTCTGTTTTTTTTGTGTCACCCTTACACGAGTTTAGCCATGATAAGGCGACTAAGCTGTCCGAATACACCAGCAACTCTGAAAATGAAATGAGCATCAAGCAAGACTTTTAGTTGTATAGGTCAACAAGGAACTCTGCGGCAAGAAAATTCCTTGCAGTTCCAAAGACAGAATAGATTGGGAGCCCAGAGAACAACTCGCAATTCGGTTCTACCTACCAAATTTTTAATATGCAGTAAATGACAACGCCAAACATTACTCTGCTGCTGTCAGATAAGACAATTAGTCGGAAGTCATCAGAACGTTTGCCTACAAATCTGAGTATTTTTAATTTATGAGCCATATTGGCTGGCTTGCTTGACAATTTTACGCCATTGAGACAATTTGGAAGCAGAATATTCATCATCCCAGCTTAATTCTGTGTCACATTGAAGGATAAACCAAGCCAGGTTAGGAATCGGGCCGTTAAAGTTGAACAAATAAAATTGAGAAGCCAAGGAACTTAGCTTCTCAATTTGTACCTCACGCTAAGTACCTGCTTTAACGTCGAGACACAAGGGACATGTCGACAAAGTGTCTCTGCCCCTGTCCCAAGTAAAGCCCAGCAATTTACCTTCAGTTGGAGTTGCTTTCTGCACCGAGTCAGCACGATCAATTTCGGCCTGAAAATTGGGGTCATTAGTCAAAAATTGCTGGAGCCTAATATGATAAGATGAAAAGGTTTGTTCCAACTGCTCGTAAGTCCAGGTTAAACTCTGAAAGTCTGAGCTGCAACAACAGCGCAATTATCAATAGAGGCCAGCTGATACACGAGGTGCTTTACAGCGCGAAGACGAGGCTCGTCCTGTTCCGGGTATATTACTAATATTTTAAACAATACGAGCATTAACATGGCAAGTCAGAACCGGGTCGCCTGCCGAAGACCACCACTGCCCTGGATGTAATGGACCATCATGATTCATGCCTTCCGGAACGTAGCCTTCAATACTTCAAGCCGTCCGTATCTAGGCCGTGGGTTGACCCAGCCCTCGGTCGAACGGCCACTTGTCGAAGGACGATAAATTTTGGAACAGAACTATGCTATCTGAAACCTAAGCTCAGATGCGGTGAACGTAAAATTACGTAATTTAACGATGCCCGGTAGTCAGATTCGATCCGCGGCCTGGTGGTGCACGGCAAGTGGTAGTCAAGGCCGGAAGAGGACAAAGCCGAGTGGTGCACGGCTGATTGGTGGATGCCCGGAGAGATCCAAGGCGTTCGATTCAGGGCTTATTTGCGCACAAAATTGGTGGTGCACGGCGGCGCTCCCGTCAGAACCTTAACCAAAGCTTAATCGCTTGCTGCGTAAGTTACAAGGGGAAAATCATTAAAGTCGTTATTTTGGAACCAATGAAATGGCAAGCGATTTTGATCAAGCTCATCAAGAACAATATTGTTAAAGCCTTGCTGTAAATAGAAGACGAGTACCTTGGCCCCAAACCTTGAACATTTCTAACCGAACCGAGCGGAGGACATTTTTTGGTAAAGAGACGGCCCACTGTGAATTGATTGTGACTCAAGGTGAGAGATTGGGCTGTATTAGGTTTACAATGATTCGATAGAAATGCGACACGACATTATGACGTCTCACGATCTAATTTAAACACGGGCATGTGTAGCAAAAAGGAAAGGGCAGCATGCTCCTTCAAAAAATACATTAGCTTCAGAAATTCTCGCTATTAGGCCAAGTTTCTCATGCTCGTAAAAGGCATAATCAATAAGCTTCTATTTATCTTGGCTTTTGGACAAGTTTTTTTTAGATTAGACACGAGAATTTTATCTGACAAGTTTCGATTTGTTCCCAGCAAGTGGGAAACATTTCCATTCCACAAAAGTGGCACGACTGTCTGCCATTAGCATCTCTGAAAGGGTCCAGGGAGAACTTCGCTAAACTTTCGTTAAGTTCATTAACTTCCGGAGACGTTGCATCGTGACCACTGGTATCAACATCCAATAACGTCCTCATTGCTCTATCCAACTCTTCATGCAACAATTTCCCATTATTCTCGACAATTTCAAAGTGGTTAGAAATATTTTTAGACGTGCAAGACACCTCCACTCCAGCTCTGTGGCATGAAAAATTAGCTAGCAAACTTGTCTTATGAATATGGCGCTTGCTGACACAGCCGGTCCCGTAAACGATGACCTGGGATCAAGAGAAGGCAAGCCGGTTAGAAGTTATGCCACGTCACTTTTCAGCATTATGCCTACGGGCGAACGGGAATAAATTGACTTAGAATCAGACCCAAAGAGAACATCTGTCTCGGGTAGGCAGTAAGCCGTTTTTGAGCCCAGTATTAAATCGACGCCTTCAATGGTGTCTTCTCCATCAAGTAATAAGACTTCAGCTAATTTATATCCACAGTTACGAAAGCCACTCACAACAGCGGGACAGATCGGGCAAATTTAATTCAATATATAAGGAAGGCAAGCATAAAGCTTCGACACGTTTGGTGTCACCAACAAGCAGATTGAATTATACTAATTCAATTCCATGAACGGAAAGCTTTTTGTTATCACTGATAACTTTAAACTTTCAAGCTAGATCAGATTGACAACCGCTATTCTTCAGCGATGAGTCTTGCGTACGAGAGTTTTGATAATGCCGAAATTAGGGTGTACTTCATTAACTCGTTTCTTCTTGTACGTACGTATCAAGAGATACGAGAAGTTTTGATAATCCGGCTCCAGCTCTGTGCGCCAGTTTCTGGTCAGAATAGGCGAGGAGGCCGGGCGGTTAAGCACAGCAGAATTGTAGCAGTGAGTTGCGAGTTCCAAATCGCAAAATGCTGTGCATGTTCTGCGATGTTAAGAATCGGCGACAGGCCTACGGCCTTATAAACGCTGAAACCGCTATTATTATTATTATTATTAACCCCACAACTGAGACCGAAGTCAGTCACTGCCCTCTAGTAACGCGAAATCCCGCGGCACTTCTGACGAGCACAAACATCCGTCAGAAATCGCCTGAATAATTCTCAGGTTGGCAGTATCCCAATTTTCTACGTAAAACGAGAGAAGATATTCAAGAACTGCTCAAAAAAGAACTGAAATTATTTGCAACGTCGTCAGGAAACTCCGTCGTCGTCTATATAGGTATTCGCCAGAGGCGAATACTTCAAACCGACGACCTAGGCGTACAATAGTTAAATTTGCATTTAGTATGGAATAATAAGTAATAATACCTTACAAATTTTATTGAGGCCAATTAAGTACTAGTATCAGTTACCAGGGATCTTAATAATAATGTGCACCTATGAACAAAATACCACAAAAATCTGCCCATACTTCGACTAGTAGAACTGCACATCTTAACATCACTAACATGCTCAGAACCTCTTATCAACTAACGGGAGCAATAAGCGTGAACAATGAAGTGAATGAACACGGGTCTATGCATACTACCAACTTTCCAGTCAAGTATTTCTACATCAGGAATGGACACTACGGAGCTAAAAAAACAATTATTGCCCAAATATCTCAATTTATATATCTTTTTTAAGCAAGTATTTCAGTTCTTACCAAGCATCCTTGTGACAAAAACTCTCGCCTAATGTCATGTTGGTATTGAGAATCCGTTGTAATTCCCAGAATCATCAAGAAATATAAAAAAAACTGTGAGATAATGCAATGGTTGATGGCAATATCAATCGAGGAAGAAAATCACAGAAAAATATGTTACAATCTTAGGGACCTTCCCGATGCAGTAGTAAGGGCCGGTTCGTTTCCCAAGAATATTGGGTAACTGGAGTCTGTCAGATCCAGAGGCGAATACTTCAAACCGACGACCTCACTGGGACAGGAAAGAAAACTTCTTTTTGATTCATCACTAAATCTATTAAGACTTATGTCAATTTAAACTAAAGAAATAGCACCACGTAACAAAGGAATGCCGTACACATGATAATATTATAATTTAACGAAATAGTTCAAACACATCAAGCAAACCAAAACTAATTTTCATTTTAAAAGAAAGGAATTGATCTTCACGATAATTTTAGGACAGAAGCAATTTGACGAAAATACACAGTTGCGACACCAAATAAAATAATTGATCAAGAATTGTATAATTCAAGTAACAGATTTAGATCTAATGAAACAACTTTTAACGCAACTCTGCACAACTAAAAAGGGAACTTAACACCTATGGAAGACAAGAGGACACAACGATTTTTGTACCCGAGGCATAAAATCCATCCCGATACGAGATTTAATCCAGACACTTAACTCGAGCATGAGGTGCACGCGAAAAACCACGGCGGGAAAATTAGATTAACAATAACTAAGAGTGAGGGTACTAAAGTTTAAAACCAAGAGAGCATCAAATATAGATTCGAAACACTCGCACATTTACTTGCATACAAACCTGTAAAGTTATCTGAATTTCTCATTTGCAAAGTAAAGCTCCAAAGTAAGTTTATTTCGTTCAGATTATTTCAACCAATCTATACTTCCTGCGAGAAAGATTTAGAAGGAGCGCTATCAAGAGCACAGATAATAACGCACATTTCTGCTAGTTAATGTAAGAATATAATTTACACGGCAGGCAAATAATGAGACTGGTTTTTAACTCAATACATAACTTAGAATACATAACTTACGGTGGTGGCACACCTCACTAAATTGCATTTGGAAATGGGATTACAGTAATAAAAAAAATCAGCGAATTTATGACGGTTTGCGCGTTTACTATATTAAATGACTAAACGAGTTATCTGAAAGGCTTCTTTGTGGAAGAAAATGTCTCGACACGAGAAAACGCTCGGCGTGCTAGTAGTAAATGTTAGGAATTCACCCAAGAGAAGATTGAAACATTTGTTTACTCAATACCTGCAAAAAATTCTCAAACGGATATCATTGACAGTAAATTATCTCAATGAGAACAGAAAAGAACCTAACACAAAAAAAATTAATCTTTAAAATCGAGAAATAGCGTCGAACGATTCTAGTGCTTCTCCATTTATTGTATTTGTAGACTTGTGCATAAAAAATGTAGGCCGAGTGAATCAAAGACTGTACCTGAAGCTGCAATTATATGTTACAAGGCTAAACAATCTGGCAGTCAGGGCTCTCAAGGGTTTGAAAGTGTGTTAAATTTTAGTTTTTATCAAATCCTTTGATGAAATCGAATACAACTACCACAGAGGTTGCAGCAAAAAGCATAGGAGGCACCAAACGCTGGTTAGCAAGGGTATAAACTTGCAGACGATAAGCAAGATATTCGCACACAGGAATCCCGGCAAAATAAGCATCAGTCGTGCCTAAAAATATTTATAAGAGAGGAACTGCAACATACTGGCTCTCAAGCATACCAAAAATTCCCAACATGTGAACCATGATTACGCGACATTTCCATATATAATTAATTAATTGTCCTAAAATCAAACGCATCCACAAATTCTCCAGTGATGCAGCTTCAAGCGGAAATGTAGGATCGAGTTAGTTCAGATAGAAGTGGATCTACAAAATTCTCAAAACCAGATGGACTGTCCTGTAACGAAGATCAAACGAGTGCGCTCCATTTGGAAGAACAAATTTGAGTTTAAACTTAAACAAACATTATCTTAACAATAGGGGTGCGTTCCCGTGACCGTGAATTGTTAAAATTCCAAGCGATATGTGACCATCAATTAAATTTACAAACAACGCAACAAAAACCATGGCCTGTCACAAAACAGGCAAGCAAATTGAACTCGACCATGAAAAAGTTTGTTCAAGAGATGGTGAACGTTCAGCTGTGAACGGGCGACAGATGGTCGCCCAATCGACCATAAAGGGGCGACAGACTGCCGCCATGCAATCAATGCTTTGGCAGAATGCAACAACTGTTGAGTCGCAACGAAGGTTTTATCACACAGATCGCAGGTGGATTTTGTCGAGGAATTTGAAGAAGACTTTGTGGTTGAGGCCTCTTGAGATCTGCTGGACATGCATGCGGATAAGGGCATAAGTAGACTCCTCGTAGCTACGGTAGGTTGCCGGCAGTCCCAGCTCCTGAAGAAGAATAGGCAAATGAGTAAATATAGTAAATTATGTGCATGGATGTCAATGAATGCAATGTTACAACTTTTCGTTTGCTGTCGAATCTTCACAAATAATAGAATCATCAAGAATATTTAATACATTAATAAATCTTTCAGTCAAAATAACCAGCTGATGTATATTAGAAAAAACTCATGAGCCGTAAAATAGGTTTAAAATTACCTTTACCCGCTTGGTAGATCATAAGCAAATGATCAAATTCGTGCATAACACCTACAACACGTCATCAACACCCATCGTGAGCGGCACCATTAAAAAACTGAGTTGAAATATACCGCACACGAGTGCAAGTGGCACACCTTGTAGAGCGTCGTGACGACCTCGACGCTCTTGTCAGAGCTGGAGCCGTAGTGCTGCTCCATGAGGGCGCGCTGCGCGGGAGATGCGCGCTGCAGCGCCACCACCGCCAGCCACGTACACTTGCCCTCCCCGATGTCCGTGCCCACCTTGCCTGTCACCGACGCGTCCCCGAAACAGTCCAGGTAGTCATCCTGAACCTATATATCAGCAGCAAATTTATTAAGATAATCAAGTTTGGATATGGCAGTTCAAGCGGTAACATATAAGTTTGACCATTGAAAATGATTAGGATAATTTAGATTTTAGAACGTTTTCAGTTTGAATGGATTGATGTAGTAGAAGCTGACGATATTTTGTCTTGACCCTGGCAGCTATTAAAAGTGTCAGAAAGAAACGATACCAAATATTGAGCATCAAGATATGGTTTAAACAAAGTTTAAAAAAAATAACTCAATAACTTGAGACCAGAAATTAACTGCACAGATAATATCAATCTAGATCCCAATAAGCACAAGAATAAAATAATGTTTGGAAAAGTCGGTAGTACATGTAGCGAAAAGATACATATTTTTACATCTTTCTTAGATATTTCATACGAGGAAAATATAAAAGTTACTCAAAGAACTTGGGGTGAAACAGAAAATAAAGCGTTATGGCATTCAATATTTCTTAAATCGCAAATGCACGGCTAGAGCATTTCACCTGGAAAAACGAGCCCATTTCAAGAAGGATGGTTCGCGCTTGTCGATGAAGTTCGGCGTCTGTGATGCCAGCCTGCAAGGAAAATATCGCGATTCAAATGTAAGTTATTAGAATGGCAATAGTTTGATACCTTCGAGTGTACGGATTACATCTTGCTGCAATTATAATCAAAGTAATGCCCTAAAAAATTATTTACTAGTGCTTTGGATATGCAATCTTTAGCTACAGAAATGTGCTTAGGAGTTCCACCTTTACAAATATATAAGCGTGCTAAAGAATAAGAAGTGGCAATGCTTCTAACTATAGAGCGCAATGAAAAAAAAAAGTGTGTAAGGAGGTTGCAAAATGATACCGCGCTATGAATAGCGAGCAATCGTGCGATAATATGGCAATAACAATACGCAAACGGCGAAATGAGTGCATTACCAACATTTGCTTTTGATCCGAATAACAATTTGAGGCAATAATAAGGTAATTTATGCAAAAAAATTATTGTTTGAAGCGATAGGAAAGGTGGAAAACATAGAGCCAGAGAGATTACAAAGTGCGCTTTGCAATTTACGTACCAATTTGAATATCCATGCCAAGCTTACTATCATTCTACACGTAAGAATAAAGCGTTAGATGATCAATGAAGGCACAGTGCATAAATGAATTTGCCTAGTTTACTTTCTAGTGCCAAGTAATGTACTAGGAAGCGATTGCTAAAAGAAATGCAAATCACAAATCATTAATGGAAACAGAAGTAAAATTTCCTCGCGATATTATAGTCAGCCATATCGAAATTTATTCTAAGATAGCAGCTGCCACTTGTGGTGGTATAGCGATGCCTGCTCTTAATGAATTACCACTTAACCAATTACTAAACGGCAACGAATTGGCAACGGCCGGCAACGAATTAAGTGAGATGGAAATGTATACAGTACGGATATTAGGTATACTCTGGCATATGTGAAACGGATATATAATTAGTTAAGAATGAATGGAAAAATTAACCGTCAAGAGTGACGTAAAATTATTCATATCACAAATAAATATGAATGATAATTGGCGAAATTTTCCGTTCATATGATAAACTGCAAATCTTTTAGGAGGTCATAATACATCAAGTTTCAACATCGAGACAAAAGTCGTAAAAGTTGTGCAAAAGATATAGCAAGAAAAGAAAATTACCACAAATCGTAGAAAAAACATGAATATAATTTGAACATAAGGTGAACACAAGAAATCTTACCACACGAACATGATCACTGTCTGAAATGCCAGCCTGGAACAAACGCCAGGAGTTAAATCCAAAATAATCTGACATGGCAGCAGCGCTGACTTAAAGAACTTACAGCATTTAACGCACGCCAGAATTGATCAGTTGAATAAAGATCAGCGACGAAATGAAATCCAATAAAAATGATTGGTGGAACAGAATGTGGCGACACAATTTTGTCGAGAGAAAAATAACAGGCGATGTGATGCTCGTGACTAAAAATTGTGAGAAGTAACAAAGAGCAAACACTTCAAAAGTTCATAAGCCAACAACTTCAGTTCCTTAGTTTCAGCATAATAACATTCAACGAAACATGTATCTGAAAATAATAAACAGAAGAAAACATAACTTGGAAAACAAGCCTAACTCAAAATTGAGGCTGAAGAATACAAGTTCACTAAGCTGCAGCAGCAAACACATGAGCTAAGCGTGTGAGAACCGGTTGATGCTTGCAGATACAATCATACAAGCAAGACAATATCAATAGCTTTAACGAGATCTATGCAATTACGTCTCAAAGAAATCTCATCAGAAGCTAGAGCTGCTCTGAGTCTACCTAAACTAAATCATTCTATTATAAACGGTATATCGACAATTTTTTCATCAACAAAAATAATCAGAATGTAGAAGTTTTGAATATTTAATCATGAATCTTCTTTCCAAAATTAATACTGAGGAATTAATATCCGTAAATTTTAAATTTTCAATAACTAAGGAATTCATCTCTGAAAATTAAAAACTTCAATGTGGTTGAACGAAATGATAAAAGTAGCTATTAACTCAGTCTCTTACCATATACATGGCGAGTGCTACAGGTAGATAGAAGCTGTAAAAGCCAGTCTTGTAGCGCACGATGGCATTGTAGCGATCCATGGTGAACTGATCCAGCTGAGGCTTGCCGCCTGGATTGGATTGCAGGTCTAAAGTTTGGCCTAGGGATGTCTTAAGAGTCACCTGCACAGGAAACAAAACTTTATAACCACAGTCCGGCATGATGAACAAACAAGTCTTTGCAGTACCTCGTCTTCAATAGCACAAATTATGGACTGATGATGTGGTGATTCCATCAAAATGATCCTTAATTTGCCATACAAATTTTGTTTGAAAGGGACAAAGAATTTTCTACACAGAGCAGAAACCTTTGCATAACGGCTGAATCAATTCATAATAACAGGTACAAATAAAGAATATTTTTTTAGCTAATTAAGAAACTCGAATAACACCGTCTCACAAAAAAAAATATTAGTATCTGATTGTTAGAATTTGCACAGTATTTCATCAAATTGAAAATGGCTGCAAACCTGATCACAAATAAGAGACGGTCAGTTCTATTCTGTCAATAGTACGTTCTATTGACAGATTGGGATTAGAAAATGCTTTAGTGGCCAAAAGAAGAAGTGGTTTATTAAGTACGATTGGCCGAGATTATTTTGCAACAATCTGAATACCGATATAAAGATGCCAAGCATATATAACAACATTCTAATTACCGAATGGAAGAAGTCAATTATATTTAATAACAAACAACTTTCGGATTGGAAGATGTTAAGTACGTATATACATTACAACTTCCAAATTCCAATTAGAAGAGGTCAATTACATATTACAACATACCTACTAGTTGTGGCTTGAAGGGTTTCACGTAGTATTTATTATGACGTTCTACTTACCGAATGGAAGAGCTCAAGAATACGTGTATAGTATGGCTCATTCTGGAAGTGTTTCTTGAGTATCTTATAGATTCCAGCCTCGAGGAGAATGGCATCATTGAAAGCAGCAAGACCGCGATTATCTTTGACATGCCATGCAGGTCGGCCTCTTCGTAAGGGACTGTTGTCTATAATGTCGTCCGCTACCAAGAAGTAACTCTGAAGCTGCAAACAAGGGTTAATCAAAGATGTAAAGCTATATATATCTACGGCTGATACTTTTATAGATTTTATTTTTATACTTGATGGAAGAACTGTGGAAGTGACCTTATTTAAAATATTTAAAATTACTTGCTATTGAAATATATAATATACCAGTCTTACGGTACTACAAATTACTCACTCCATGTATAAATACTTGAAACAAGAAGTTGAAAATTATTGTCAGCTTGAAATATCTAACCAAAGCCAAGCTTTATGGATATATAAATGCTCACAAGCACACACATGATAACTACAAGAATAACAAAGCGCAGACACGCACCAGTTCAATGCACCAGCCTAGGATATGAGCTTGTCTGATGGTGCCTGGTGTGATGGTGCTTGGCTCTGCCAGGAGTTTGTAGGACATGCCAACAGCAAGCCCACGATTCATTTTCCCACCCCGCACATTGTACTGGAGCACCTAAATATAAATTATATTCATCTTAAAATTGAGCATATTTTTAACTGACAACTTAATAAATTAGGGACTTGTATGATTTTCGTGCCTACTTTGTAAATTTAAATAAAATTGACATTTTATTTTGTAAACTTCCTAATTTGAGAAAAAAATTATACAACTAAAAATTTCTCACTACAGCAAGAAATGAAAGATTGATGTATAATGGTACCCATGGCATCAATTAATAATGTTTAACCTTTAAAAAGAAATGCTTATGAGTGTTTCAGGAATACAGTAGTAAACTGTGATATCTGGTTAAAGATCAGATATTTATCTGGTGGTTAAAGATCAGATAAATCAGTTTAGAATCATAAAAGATAAGCTAATTTTAAACACATAATAAAAATGAGTGTATACAACAGTCCTAAAACATAAAGACTCTTACTCTAGAAAACCATTTCAGAGCTTCAGGAATGTCATCATATTCAGGATCTGTAGAGAGGTCCCTTACAACATCCGGAAAAAGAGATACAAATTCCAACTGTTCATCTGAAGACGCTGCCTTGCCCAGCTTGGCTGGGGGTAACACAATGGAGCTCATGGCACAGCAAGGCTGAATTGAAGGCCTCTTGCTGTTGGGAGATAAGAGAACATAAGAATAGATACTTTTTATTTATCATTAAACAGAGAACTTTTGCAATAAAAGCTTTGAACATAGAAATATATTTACCTAGTCATCTATTAAACACACTAGATGTTGATTTAAAAACAGTACTATGAAGATTTATGAAAGGGCCTCAACTAAAACACTATACTAATTATGATGTACTGACTTCTTTATTATAATTATACTATGTACTAACTTATTAGATGCTGCACACTGTACTAATTATGATGAATTAGACATGGAACATGTTTTTACTTGCATCAGTTTTTGTATAAAATACTGACCAGCCTCTTAGAATATCATAACATAACTTCCTCTCAAATATCAAGTAAAAGCTCTCTATATGTAAGCTAAAAAAATTATATTCATTTAGAGGCATAAGAGCCAATGGATTCAAGTGTAAGTGATATAGGTACAAATAGCAGGATGGTAGACTATGAAGAAGCAATACCTGAGAAAAGATGGGTGTAGAGATGCAACTGCAGTCCATAGGGGCAGACTTTTGCCACAATACATGCTGAGTTTAGAGGCATGAATGGCATTTATGCCATGGCTATGGGAACAGTTCCGCAAAATGGAGAAAAATACACTCATGATGAATTTTAATTTTATGGTCTTCTGACTCCTACAAGTAAGTGTGCATACTTTAGTTTTGAAACAAAAATTGCTCAAAAAATTAGAAATATAACTCAAACATCCAAATTAGCTGGAAAATTTTATACAATGCTGATATTTGAGAAAATATAGCATTTTCTCACAGGCCTTGCATAAAAGGAAGGAAATCACAGCAAAGATTCTTGGAGCAAAATTTTGATTCATCATGATTTTAAGATCATTTTAATTGATTCCTAAATGCACTCAGCTAACTGTTAACGTTTTAGCCAGAACATCTCCATATTTGAGACTTAAAGTTACCCCAAACAGTTCATCATGTGCATTGGCTTTTTTACTGCAGGTGAGTTACCATGCCCACACCAATCACCAATCATTTGCTTTGCCCATCATTCCATCTATAACATAACCATCTGTCAAGCTTCAGAATTACACACGAATGTTAAAAGAAAATGTATGACACAGAAACCTAAATTGTGGTGTTCATGTATCCTTGTCACCTTTATCTGCATGTACTATATACCTACAACTGTATCATTGCATTTTTCCAGCTGATGGAGCTGGCAATGAACTGAAGATGTAGCTGGTCAACTGATAAAGGAGGCAATTAAAATTGAAAATGCTCTCCCAGTTATTGTGGAGTTTTTGTCAAGAAGAGGGAAATAGTAGGCAGCTCAATTTTGAGAATTTTTTGCAGCAACTAGCTAGAATCCCAAAATCATGGGTATACTTAGCTCCTAATATCACACTGGTTGAAAACAATTCTGGAAAATCACTCATCACAGGTGGCAAAAGCCCCTGTGAATGACTTAACAATACCCATGCTTGTCAGAAAGTTGTGGTACATTTCACTGTTTTTATAAATCACACCAGTGGTGGGCACAGCTAACCTAAAAGTTAGCTTCGATAACCGCTAATCCGCTAACTGAAAAGACATTTTTAATATGAAAAAAAAATTTTTTCGGATCGAGACCTACATGAAAAGTTGGCAAAAACGATTGGGCAGGCAGTGGAAAAAGTTTGAACTGAATCGGAGCAGGGGTTGCCGAGTTATGAGGAAAAAAGTAAACATTTTACCTCCGTCTACGTTTCGCCGGTACTAAGTATAAAGTTGCAAAGATACAAGTATCAATACGCGAAAGACGCGGGGTAAAACCCAGGGGTGGCCCCCCATTTTTTACTGCAACAGCAAAGATGTAGCATGCCATGATCAGATGATGATCAAGATGTACGTAACATAAATAATTAAATGAACAAATGAAATTAGGCAGTAGTTGACATTCAACATACAGTTTATTAAACGAATAAGAAATATTAAGGTTACACCAGGGTTACACACTCCTTTTACTCTAGCTTGCCCTTCGCCTTCATCTCCTCGAGGTGATGATTGTTGCCCTTCATGAACATCAGCCTCTCAAAGTTGGCATCTGACAGGGTGGCTCTTTTGGCACTCAAGATGTCCTAGCCTAAGGAAAACAGGCACTCAACTGCAGCACTGGATGGGATGGCTGTGTTGTACTTAACGAAAAGGTTCATCAAAACCTGCTCGCCCAAGAAGGCAACGTCAGTCAATTCCTCCTTCGAGCTGCTTTCCAGCCAGGTCTTCACCAAATTCTGTGCCTTGGACTTCAGTGACACGTGGCTCCTCCTGCACTCCATGGGCTGAGTAATGCTGCTGAATAAGTCATCTTCCCCATCCTCGTCATTGCTGGTGGTGCTGCTGCCCTCCTCAACGGTCTCCCTCAGGGCTGTCTCCACGGCGGTCTCCATGGCCTTCTGTACCCTGCTGAGATGGCTGTGATTATGCTTTTCCAGCCAGAACAGGCGAAACTTAGGGTGGAAGGCCGCTGCCAGCTGGCACTCCTTGTTTTCTAGGAGGGACCCAAACCTTTTCGTGATGCCTGCCAGCATTACGTCCACCAGAGGACTGCAGTATAGGACGTCTTGTGTTACTGCCAGTAACACAAGACGTGATTGGCTGACGAATATTTTGATGACGTAGTCAGCCGTCAGTGTGGGCGTGGCACACGGCTTACAATACTTAGCATTAAATCAGAGATTTTAAAACATTTTTAGCGGACTGCCAGTTAGCGGATGCTAATTGGTCCGCTAAAGGTTTTCAAAGTTAGCTGAACAGCTAATCCGATAAGGAAAAAGTTAGCTTCACTAATTAGCGGTTAGCGGATTAGCGGAACTGTGCCCACCACTGAATCACACTTTGCTCATTTATATGGGTTGCTTAATTAATTCATAAAAACAAGAAATGGGCAAATTTTTGGTTGCAATTTTTGGAAATTGATCATAAACAAGTTTTGCACGTGACTTTTGAAAAACTCTGCATAATGTTACAGAATGGGTTGCAAGTGTAAAAAACATGTATATAATTTACAATCAAATTAAAATCTCCTACTTAATACTGATGAAGGCTTGCAGCTCCATTGTGCCAAATTCTAAATACATATGGAATTTTGCAGCCCAGTTGTGCACTCTTATAAAAAATAAAATAGGAGGTAATTCATCTAGGGGCAAAATGCTAACTAGTGATTTTGAAAATGGCAGGGAAAATCTAGTTGTGGCTGGAAAGCTAGATATATTCTATGCATGTTTTTTTAAGATGAACAATGGAGTTTTGCAGCAGCAAAATTTTCTTTCATGAATTTATTCCATTTTTACTGTATTTCAAATTTGTGCTAAACATAACAAAAACAGTTCAACAGTGATACTTTTTTTCGAAGCCATATATATGTATCCAAAGAAAGCCAGCAAAGATAGTGAATACAGTCACAACTCACACATCACAAGCATAGTAACAAACCACAAATTTTTTAGAATCTGTTCATATTCAATATCCTCATTTACCCAAGATTTAAGCTAATTTCTTATGTATGATAATGCTGCCTTATTATGCTGCATATAATCCAGGGTGCAGAGTTTGCAAGCTGCGTTGCCACCTTGCCAAATGCCAAGATATGGATTTTCAGCCCAAAATGTAGCCAGCCATTTTCAAGATGCGTTGCCAAGTAATTTTAATAAGAAAATGCTGCTAACCACTTTGATAGTGTATCCCTTACTCTCCACACACTGCAACACTTACACTCATTGCAACTGATTTTCAGACAATCTTCACTGCATCCTGATCCATCCAACAAACCAAAAACCTTACTATGTGTGCTTGCAGTCTTCCAGATTTTCAACTCTTTGCTAAATAGTTGGCCAAAGACTGGTGAATATCTGAAATGAAATAATTTCAATTCAAATGTTTTAGCAAGATCTTCTGAAGGCGTAACTTTTGCTGCTGATGCGTTACCCAAGATCTTGCAATATTCACCCTGGCATATAATTTGGCACCCTGGCATATAATTTGGCACCCTGGCATATAATTTGGCACCCTGGCAGATTATGCTGGTATCCAGGATACTTACCTGATCTACTAATAGGACTCAAAAATGAACTTGAGGGAGAGTCTTGAGGAAGATTGTACATTAAGTATCAGCTGTCTCTTATACACATCTAGATGTGTATAAGAGACAGGTTGTCAAACAGGTAATTTTTCACGTATGGTTAGAGGCATGCAATGACCGAGACCCAACGCCCCAGGGAACCGAGTACGGAGACACGCTGAGACACACATTCAGGGCGATGGTGAGGAGCGCATTAACGAGCTGAGACAGAATGAATGAGACATTTCTGCCTGAGAATCAAATGAAAGAGGAGGCGAGTTTGATGACCTTTTGTTGTCAGCTTCCTTCTTGAGACTGTTGAGGTATTCCTCCTGACTCTGGGCCAACACCTGAGCCAGGACGTCCAGCTCTCCGTGGGAATAGTCACTCAAACCTGGAATAAAAAACAACCATTCACTTACTCCATTCCATGATTAAAATAGTAGAGACCCTGGCATCCATGCAGCAACAGTAATAAACAATCAAAGATATCATAGCATCATAATACACAATAAATACATGGCAATAATAATAGAAAAATCGAAATTTCTCACCTAAAATATCATGAGGCACGTGATTGAGGAAAGAGGCGCGCTCGTCGACAGCGAAGTCGCCTTCGTTGTGCACTCTGGTCTCGTCGAAGCCTCTTGAGCAAGAGGCTCCGGTCGGGGAGAACGAAGGGTCCTTCGAAGGGCCTGGCACAGCGTTGTCCACATCCTGTCTCTTATACACATCTAGATGTGTATAAGAGACAGGTCTAAGTTACCCCAAGAGCTGGGGTAACAAAGACCATCACTTTTTTTGAAATTACATAAAGACTATGAGAGGCAGGAGCCAGCAATTTATGGTGAGCAAAGCTAGAGTATAGACCTGTATTTTGCATGTTTCAATTCAACTTTAATTTAGTTAGTAAAAAAATGGCATTATTTAAAAAAAAAGTGGTCTAAGTTACCCCATTTTACGGTATAGAAGGTAGAGTCTGGTAGATTTATAGGACATAAAACTTGTAGATCTATTGATAGTGCTGTGCACAGTGCTATCAGCTACAGTCACTACTAGTCGGTGTGTATAAAGGGTAGAGTCTGATAGATTTTTAGGACATAAAACTAGTGGATCTATTGATAGTGCTGTGCACTGTGCTATCAGCTACCTATCTGTTATGTGACTCTTCAATGTTTAGAAGATCTGCATTCCTGAAGTGTTTTTGTATATTGAAGCCAGTTAAATGGTCAATATTTAGCTT